GGCTCATGTGTCCCAGCCAGTGACAGAATATATACTTCACTATGAGCGACAGGGTAGGGAGGTACAGAGGAGGGAAGACTCATCATTGCCTAAGACCACCTCCTCCTCTCAGAGCCAACACCAGGTGGAGGACAGAACCACCTAGAATCTTGTAGTCAGCTGCTGTCTTCTCATCATTCCTGCAAGGAGTGAAAAAGCATTAGAAATACAATCTAAAGCAGGGGTATAAAACTTTTCATGGATCTCTTTGGCAACTTGACTGAGAAAAGAACTCTTTCATTCTATTTTTTTATTTATGTATTTGATACAGGGTCTCTACTATGCAGCTTGGACTTGTGGTGATCCTGTTTTCAGCCTCCCAAGTGCTGGGATTACAGGCATGTGCCACACACCCAGACTGGATTGCTGGCTCAGTGGGGGCGGTGGGGGGGGGGGCATGGGGCCAGCCAGGAATTCTTTTATTTTTACTAACCCATCATATTTATTTTTATTTTCTTCATAGGCAAAAAATATAGTATTAGCAAGGAGTAACTTTTTTTTTTTTTTTTGCGGTACCGGGGATTGAACTCAAGACCTTGTGCTTGCCAGGCACACACTTATTCTACTGAGCTATCTCCCTGGCCCAGCAAGGAGTAACTTATTAACAGAAATTAGGTATTTTCTTTTGGTACCTAGGATCAAACTTGGGACCTTGCACTTGCCAGGCAGGTGCTTATGCTGCTGAGCTATCTCCCCAGTCCGTATTCTCATTGCAGCTATCAACTGTTTACTGGTATCTTGACAATTATGGAAGTTATTAGACCCACATTTTGACCTTAGTTTATTTCTTTTTAATGTGGGTTTGAGATAGGGTCTTGGTATGTAGTGCAGGCTGGCCTTGAATGCACTAGAGAGCCCAAAGTAGCCTCCAACTCCCAGCAATCCTCCTGTCTGAGCCTTCTGAGTACTGAGGTAATAGGCATGTGCTACTACACCCAGCAGATCTTTCTTACTTTATTAACGAAGAAACAAGCTGAGGTGTTGAAGGGAGGATAGAGGAATGGGGGAGGGTAATAAAGTATAAAGAGCTGGAGATGTAGCTCACTGGTAAGCACTCCTGGATTTGATCTTAATACTGCAAAAATATGCAAACAAAACAACAAAGAGGCAAACCCAGGACACCTCTAGCATGTGCTTCCTCATCTCACACAAGACTGCACTGCATGGTGTGGTGGTGCATGCCCATAATCCCAGCATTTGGGTCACCATGAGTTTGAGGCCAGCCTAAGCTACATAGTGAGTTCAAGTCCAACCTGAACTACAAAGCAAAACCTTTATTTTTGCCAGAACTGGGGATTGCACTCAGGCCCTTGTGCTTGCCAGGGAAGCGCTTATTCTACTGAGCCATCTCCCTGGCCCCAAATTTATTTATTTCGCTAAATAGCAAAACCTTGTCTTATAAAAAACAAAAACAAAAAGCCCCAAAGGCTCCTGTGCCCTAATTCTCCCTCCAAACTTACATCTGTTTGCCGCTATAGATGAGCCGCTGCTGTTGTGGCGGGATTCCCTCTTTCTCCTCGACACGCTCCTTGATTCGCTCCACCTTAAGAGGCACAAGTGGTTAGAGGCTTATGGACAGAACCATAGAAATGGAAAGAACAAGGGCTAAGCAGGCAGAATGGGAATAAATAGATCAAGCTTCTAAGCATTTCCGAAACAAAGGTAGAAGCAAGAAGGGCAAAGACTTTGGGCATACTTCACCTTGTCTGTGGGTTCAATGTCAATCTCAATCTCCTTTCCGGTCAGTGTCTGAAACAGATGAAGTTCTCTTAAGTCCTACATCTGAAAGTAAAATTTCTACATAAAACATCCTGTCCTGGTCTTTAGGGATCTGTTGTCTTCTGAGAGGTGCACATTTCCAGCAACTGCTTTTTGTTTTGTTTTTTTTTGTGACAGGGTCTCATTATGTAGTTCATGCTGGCCTTGAATTCACTGCGTAGCCCAGGTTGGCCTTAACCCATGGTGATCCTCCTCCTGCCTCAGCCTGGATGACAGGCGAGCACTACCATGCCTGACTTCCAGGAACTCTGGTTTGGAAAATCTAAAGGTTTGAACGTACTTGTGTTCAGTTAAGTTTCATGCTCTGGTTTATTTTCTTTTGTAATGGGGAAGAAAGCCAGGCTATTTACAGTGAGTTACAGTCCCAGCTCTTTTTTTATTTTGAGAAAGGTTCTCCCTAAGCCACTAAGTTGCTCGAGCTAGACTCCAATTTGAGATCCTCCTGCCTTAGCTACCCACTGTACTGGAATTACAGGCACATATTACAGTACCCAACAGCTATGGACAATTTAAACATTTTTAGTTTTGTTTTTTAAGACAGGTTCTATGTAGTTCAGCCTGGCCTTGCTGACTTCAAACTTGTGGCAATCCTCCTGAGTGCTGGGAAACAAGTGTACCCTACCACACCCAGTGAATTTTAAGTCTCTTTTTTAAGCACAGTGTCCGGGTTCTGGGGCCAGCACAGCATGCAGTATGGGGATCAAACCCGGGTCCTTGTGCTTGCCAGGCAGGTTCTTAGACTGCTGAACTATCTTCCCAGCTCCCACTCAGTGATTTCTAAAAATTTTTTATTAGTCCATGTTTGCATTGCACTGGGCCCACCCCACCTTGAATGCACCAGTCGTGTCTGAAGTGCATGGTAATTACGTGCACCATAGGGTGCTTGTATGTGTTCATAACACATGTGAACTCTTTATTTCCCTTTCTCCCCTCCCACTTTCCCTCCCATCTCTCAGTCCTCTTTCCATTTGCAAAAGATGCATCTCCATTTCCTATTATTTTTCTTTCTTTCTTTTTTTTTTTTTTT